CACTACATACTCGTGAGAGGAAAACTCCAAGACGAAGAGATAACTATCTTAAATATATACGCACCAAACTCCAGAGCACCCAGTTATATAAAACAATTATTAACAGAAATGAAAACTCAAATTATCAGTAACACAATTGTAACAGGAGACCTTAATACACCACTGACACCAAGGGACAGATCAACCAGACAGAAAATGAGCAAAGAAATAACAGAACTGAATCACAGCTGTGAACAAATGGGTTTGATAGACATATACAGAATGTTCCACCCAACAACATCAGAATACACATTCTTCTCAGCAGTACATGGATCATTTTCTAAAATAGACCATATATTAGCTCACAGAACATATTTAAGCAAATGCAAAAGAGTTGAAATCATCCCTTGCATATTATCGGATCATAGCGCTCTGAAATTAGAAATTAATGACAAAGGATACTGCAAAAATTCCGCAAACACATGGAAACTAAATAACACACTCTTGAGTAATCAGTGGGTCACAGAAGAAATTAAAGAAGAAATTAAACAATACCTAAAAGAAAATGAAAATTCAGATACAACTTACCGGAATCTGTGGGATGCAATGAAAGCCGTTCTGAGAGGAAAATTTATTGCACTGAGTTCCCACATCAGGAAAACAGAACAAATACAACTAAATAACTTGATGCTACACCTCAAACAGCTAGAAAAAGAAGAGCAAGTCAAGCCCAAAGCCAAAAGAAGAGAGGAAATTATAAAAATCCGAGCAGAAATCAATGCAATAGAGACTAAGAAAACAATCCAAAGAATCAACGAATCTAAGAGTTGGTTCTTTGAAAGAATAAATAAAATCGATAAGCCCCTAGCCAACCTTATTAAAAAAAGGAAAGAAAAAGCTCAAATTCATGCAATAAGAAATGAAAAAGGAGAAATCACTACAGACCCAATAGAAATACAGAGGATCATCAACACCTATTTCGAAAACCTCTACTCTCAAAAGTTTGATAACACAGAAGAAATAGACAGATTCTTAGAAGCATATGAAGTACCAAAGCTAGATCAAGAGGATATAAAACTGTTGAATAACCCAATCTCTGCTAATGAAATTGAGAATGTAATTGGGTCCTTACCCACCAAGAAGAGCCCAGGCCCAGATGGATTCACTGCAGAATTCTACAAGAAATATAAAGAAGACTTAATGCCGACACTCCTCAAACTATTCAATGAAATTGAAAGGGAAGCAATCCTTCCTAAGTCATTCCTGGAAGCAAATATTACTCTAGTACCAAAACCTGAGAAAGACCCAACTATAAAAGAGAACTATAGACCGATCTCCCTAATGAACACAGATGCAAAAATCCTCAATAAAATATTGGCAAATAGGATCCAGCAAATCATCAAGAAGATTATACACCATGACCAAGTGGGATTCATCCCAGGAATGCAAGGATGGTTCAACATACGCAAATCAATAAATGTAATCCACCATATCAATAAAGCCAAAAATAAGAATCACATGATCATCTCTATAGATGCAGAAAAAGCCTTCGATAAGGTCCAACACTTATTCATGATAAGAACTTTACAGAAAATTGGAATAAATGGTCTTTACCTCAATATAATAAAGGCCATTTATGACAAACCAACAGCCAGCATCATACTAAATGGCCAAAAATTGAAAGCCTTTACTTTAAAATCGGGTACAAGACAAGGATGTCCTTTATCACCACTCCTATTTAATATAGTACTGGAAGTACTAGCCAGAGCAATTAGGCAAGAAAGAGAAATAAAAGGGGTAAAGCTAGGAAAAGAAGAAGTTAAATTATCATTGTTTGCAGATGACATGATACTCTACATAGAAGACCCCCTAAACTCCATTGAAATACTCTTAGATACAATAAATAAATTCAGTAATGTGGCTGGATACAAAATCAATACTCAGAAATCAATAGCATTCCTATACACGAACAACAAAATTACAGAGAGGGAAATAAGAGAAACTGGACTATTCACATTAGCAAGCAAAAAAATGAAATATTTAGGAATTACTCTTACGAAAGAAGTGAAAGACTTATACAGTGAAAATTATAATACACTGAAAAAGGAAATTGAAGATGATCTCAGGAAATGGAAAGACCTCCCTTGCTCATGGATAGGAAGAACAAACATTGTGAAAATGGCCATTCTCCCAAAACTGTTATACAGATTCAATGCAATCCCAATAGAAATACCATCAACATACCTTATAGATCTAGAGAAATCACTCCTAAATTTCATCTGGGACCAGAAGAGACCTAGAATCGCAAAGGCAATTCTAAGCAGCAAAGACAAAGCAGGAGGCATCACAATCCCTGACTTGAAGTTATACTACAAAGCAACAGTAGTAAAATCAACATGGTATTGGAATCAAAACAGAGCTGAAGATCAGTGGAATAGATTAGAAGATACAACCACAACTACGAACACACTCAACCACCTTATCTTTGATAAAGGAGCCAAGCAGGTTCACTGGAAGAACGACAGTCTCTTTAATAAATGGTGCTGGAAAAACTGGCTCTCCATTTGCCGAAAACTAAAGCTAGACCCATGTCTATCACCATGTACTAAATTAAAATCTAAATGGGTCAAAGATCTGAATATTAAAACAGAAACACTAAATCTATTGGAAGACAAAATAGGTAGAAACCTTGGAGACATAGGAGTAGGTAAAGAATTCATGAACAGGACTCAAACCACACGGGAAATACTTCCCAGAATCAATAACTGGGACCACTTCTTATTAAAAAGTTTCTGCATGTCAAAAGAAATCTCCAGCATAGTGAAAAGAAAACCCACAAACTGGGAAAAGATTTTAGTGAACTCTCTCTCAGACAAGGGACTCTTGTCTAAAACATATAAAGAATTAAAGAAACTCAGACCTCCGAAAGTCAAAGATCCAATCCAAAAATGGGCATCTGAGATGAATATGCAATTCTCAGATGAAGAAATGCAAATGGCAAATAAATACATGAAAAAATGCTCATCATCATTGGTCATTAGAGAAATGCAAATTAAAACCACACTGAGATACCATCTCACTCCTGAAAGAATGGCCAGGATCAAGAAAACCGACAACAAATGCTGGAGAGGCTGTGGGGAAAAAGGAACTCTCCTGCACTGCTGGTGGGAGTGTAGACTGGTACAGCCTTTGTGGAGATCTGTCTGGAGATTTCTCAAAAAGTTGGGACTGGAAATCCCATTTATTCCAGCTATTCCACTTCTAGGCATATTCCCAGAAGAACTGAAAGCATCATACCACAGTGATATATGTGCACCTATGTTTATAGCAGCACAATTTGTAATCGCCAGATCTTGGAAACAACCCAAGTGCCCATCAACTGAGGAATGGATAAAAAAGTTGTGGTATTTTTATACAATGGAGTATTATTCAGCTATAAAGAAGGATCACATTGAGATATTTATCAATAAATGGGCGCAGCTTGAGACCATACTCATTAGTGAAATAAATCAATCTCGCATGTGTGAATACCGAATAGTTTCCCTAATGTAAATAATGATTCAAATATATAAAAATATGTGGTAATCATGATTCCCCATTAGGTGGCCTTGAAGCCTTATAAAGTTTTCACTCATTAATTAGAAAGGCTTTATTCTGGGCTTCTTGATATGAAAATATTTGAAGCTAGAGTATATGAAGTTTTACCCAAATATTTCAAGGAAAAAGACACTATGGTAACTACTATTAAGTCAGGTTATAAGGTGGTGAAGTACTAGGTTGTTGAAACAGTCATGCTGTGACCTCTATTGTTATATTGTTATGTCCTGTTTTATCTCAATCTCCCCCTTATTGTTTCAAAAAAATTATTTAGTCATTTCTTATGTTTGTCTTAATTAAAGAAAAAATTCAAAAAAAAAATTAGGATATATGAATAGTAACTCTTTCCGATTTCCTATTAACTTGTTTTGAAGTCCTGTAGTACTCCCACAATCTTGTTTTGACTGATTAGACTCTGTTCCATTCTATATGATAGTATCAAGTTTGAAGACATAGGCAACTACTTCGAAGACAATAAGATTCACTAAGATACCCATTCTGGTTTGACTATTGTCTTCTTTGGAAGTCCTGTAATGTTTACAATGCCTAAGTTTTATTGGTCTTGTTCTCTACTGTTTTGTCCAACTTTATAATATCTAATAAGATAGACAATTCTTCTTAAGGAAACAAGGGACAACGTTGATAACCATTGTTGATAAACTTGTACTCTGTTCTACACCATGTGCTATGTCTATCCTTGGTATTGACTGACAGCTTTGTTTTGCCATATTTGACTGTATTCTCCCCCCCCCCAAAGAAAGTAATAAGCACTAAGGAGTAATAAAATCCAAGATGTGTAAATTTTGTTGTAAAAAAGAGAGGGAAAAAAAAAAAGAAAAGAAAAAGAGCTCTAACGGATATAACAGCAAGTGTTTTTGGGGGTGTTAAATAGCTGACTTTATCAATGTTTTTGGAACATTGAACACAGCTGTTTGCAGTCTCCCTGCTTGAATGTCCACCTTGTGTTCTTTGATACTGTGATTTGAGGAATTATTTTCAAGAAAATAGTGTGTAATCTACTAGCAGGTAATTTCTTACTGTTATGTTTTTTTTGTTTTGTTTTGTTTTGTTTTGTAGTTCTGTATTGCGTGTACCCTTACGCCGCTTTGGTTTGTTTTGTGTTTTTCTCTTTTTCCTCTTAAATAAAAAAAAAAAAAGAACAATTTATGCATGTTACAGACGTGAATCTGTTGCTAATCTTTTGTTAGATCATAATAAGTAGCTCATTTGAATGTATTACATCACCATATCACATCTTATCACATTGTTTTACATATATAATGATCTTAATCTTAATCCACATTGGTAATGGCTTTTCTCATGGGTACAAAGGCCACCCAGCTAGACATTACATTTCCCAGGATTTCTCTCCTGTTTTTCCTGTCTTCTGTTTGGACACTGAAGCTGTAGCAATCTCATATTACCTGAGGAGCACCTCGATCCTCTGCACCTGGATCAGGCATCTGGTTCACTCTGCAGAACACACACCCCCTACCATGCTGTATGGTTGTAACTGCTTAGATGTAACAGCTGGATGTAGGACTCTGAAATAACAGAATTCCAAAATATTGGTCATTGGCTCAGTCCCAGTACTTAGGTGGTAAAGAAATAGATATTCCAGGCCCGAGAGCTGGTGGTACTTGTTATGCTGCAACAAATTATTTGGTGAAACTCATTCATGACAACTTAGAAAGCAAACCAAGTACCCGTGGATACTATAATTCTGTGGAAAGCAATTGAATAGAGGCAGAATGTTATGGTGCATTATCTGCTCCTTGCTGCTTTTAAAAAGGCATAACAAGAAAAGGATGAATGCAAGCAAGAGTTGGGAAATTTGTAAACAGCACTGGAAAACACCAGTGATTCTGAGTCACAAAGAGCAGGGGATAAGTGTATTTGCCCAGAGCTTTTCACAAAAGCCCCGCCATGAAGACTTTCAGCCATATGAAAGGATAAAGGCTCCAGCCAGAAAGTCAGATTAATATTAATATTTTACTAAGAATAATTCATTCAAATGTCCACAGGGAATCTTTATTAAAATAAGGGAAGAGGATGGATTGGATACTGATTCTGGTACTTACGGCAGACTTTCGAAGGTATCTAGAACTTGTATGAAATTTGGACATGAGGCTCACTAATATCAAACAGATCAGAGAACTACTAAATTTTTGAGGGAATTTTAGGCTACAGCACTGGTCTAGAGGAGCTTTCAGCTCTCAGTATGGCACCAGCTGGATTCTGACTAAGAGCATTATAACCCACAGCGTTACTCCAAGCACGTTGCCTCTATCATCTATTTCAGATGCACACACAGCAGAAAGACCTTCAAGAAGACAGGGATGAGAGCAGCAAGGATAACAGATAGGCCAGTTCTTCCCAGAGAGCAGCCCGGATCTATGAACTTACCATAGCCAGAGCCGGGTGACTTTTCAGTTCCTGTCCAGCGCGTTTATTTATTGTGATGGTAAAGTGTGTTCACGATTCTTTCCTTTTCTTGACAGTGTTAAGCTTTACAGTGTTAAGCTGTTCTTACTCCGCAACTGTGTTTGCAGATGCCAGTTGCAAAGGTGCCTTTCGATCATTAGATGTCCTGACAGAAGATATCTGGGACGTGATGAGAAGAACTATAGACCCTTGAAGCCCAGGATTTTGGAAATGAGGCAGTAACTGGTGGGGACTTGGCACTGTTTTCCTGGGGGTGGGAGGCCTGTGTCTGGGAGAGAAGCTTGCACACCTCTCAGCGGCGGGCAGAGTCACAAGCTGTCGTGGTTCCAGGCTGCTGCCCAGTTCTGATTCTGTCCTCCTCTTCCTACACACGATCACCAAGTGACTAACTGCACGCGGCAGCTTTTTTGAAGCATAAATCATGCGAGTATGCCTTATTCATGGGATGGGAGGATGAGTACAGTGTATAAGACTGGCTTATCTTCTTGCTCTGAACTTTCTACCCTCTTTCCTTTTATCTTGCTGGAAACGGGGTGACTAGCACAACTATGAAATCCTAAAATGAGATTGTTTACCTCACCTGAGCCAGTAATTTTGTGTGAAGTTAGAAAAAAAAAAAGCGGCTTAGATGTTACTGTAATTTAAATGAGTATTGCATGAGCCTCCATAATTGATGCCATGTCTTTTTTTTTTTTTTTTTTTTTTTTTTTTTTTTTTTTTTGAGTCAAGGTCTTGCTATGTAGTCCAGGCTGGCCTTGAACTTGTTGTAATTCTCTCCCCTCAGCCTCCAAAGTGCTGGGATTATAAGTGTGCACCACCACGTCTGTCTACGTCGTATCATTTAAAAGGGAATCAATCTATTCATCCATATTCAAAGATGAAAGACAAAGAAAGAATATGCTTAAGTGTATTTGCAAAGAGGAAAGATTAAAAATTACACAGAAAATATTTTATAAGAAGATAAAACAAAAGAAATAAGGATAGAAAAGAAAGAAGTTAAATTATCAGTATTTGCAGATGATACGATATTTTACATAGAAGACCCCAAAAGCACTATCAAAGGATTAGTAGAGTTGATAAGTAAATTCAGCATTATAGCTGGATACAAAGTCAAACTCAAAAATCAATAACATTCCTGTACACAAACAAAAAGCTCACTGAGAGAGAAATTATGGAAATAATGCCTTTCAAAATAGCATCCAAAAAAATGAAATACTTAGGAATCAACATAAAAAAGATATGCTGAAAATTATACTACTCTAAAAAAGCAGATTAGAGAAGATATTAGAAAACGCAAAGATATCCCTTGCTGTTGGTTAGAAAGAATCAACTTTGTGAAAATGGCCATGCTCCCAAAACTTTTATATGGGTTTGATGCAATTTCAATTAAAACACCATTAGCATACTTCACAGATCTAGAGAAAACATTCCTAAAATTCACTTGGAAACAGAAAAGATGTAGAATAGCAAAGGCAATCCTGGCAACAAAGGGAAGGCTGGAGGCATCACAATCCCTGACTTGAAATTATACTACAAAGCTACTGTGATAAAATCAGCATGGTACTGGCAAACAAATTCCAAAAAACAAAACAAAACAAAAACACGTAACAGACCTGAGGATCAACTGATTAGCAGATGCATACACAACTACAAAGCCACATTATATTTGACAAAAGGGCCAAACATGCTCACTGGAAGAATAGCCTCTTTAATAAATAGTGCTGGAAAAATTGGCTTTCCACATGCCAAAGACTGAAACTAGACCCATGTCTATCACCATGCACTAAACTAAAATCAAAATGGATCAAAGTCTAAATATTAAAATAGAAACACTAAATCTCCTGGCAGACAAGGTAGGTAGAAATCTTCAAGACGTAGGGGTAGGCAAAGAGTTCATTGACAAAACACAAACCACACAGGAAGTACTTCAAGAATCAACAACTGGGATCTCATCTTATTAAAAAGCTTTTGCATTTCAAAAGAAATCATTAACAGAGTGAAAAGAAAACCCACAGAATGGGAAATAATTTTAGCCAGCTGTCCCTTAGACAAAGGATTTATATCTAGAACATATAAAGAAGTTAAAAAGATTATGCCTCCCAAATTCAAAGACCCTCTCCAAAAATGGGCATCTGAGATGAACACACATTTCTCAAATGAAGATATACAAATGGCAAATAAATACATAAAGAAATGTTCACCATTAGTGGTCATTCAAGAAATGCAAATTAAAACAACACCGAGATTCCACCTCATTCCAGAAAAAATGGCTGCCATCAAGAAATCAACCAATAACAAATGTTGTCGGGGCTTTGGGGGAAAAAGAAACACTGCTCCACTGTTGGTGAGTGTGTAATATTACACATTGAGGTCTTATTCAATCCAGCTATTCCGCTTCTGGGTATTTTCCCAGAAAAATTGAAAAGGTCATGCTCCAGTGATATATGTGCACCTATGTTTATAGCAGCACAATTTGTAATAGCTAAATCTTATAAACAATAAAACACCCATTAACCACAGAATGGATGAAAAAAGATATGGCATTTTAATACAATGGAATATTACTCATCTATGAAAAGGACAATCTTGAGACGTTATAGGTAAATGGAAGCAACTCAAGACTGTACTTATAAGTGAAATAAATCAGATTCACATTTGTAAATATTGTACTGTTTCCCTAGTGTAAAAATAAATAATAATAATAGTAAAAAACTAAAAGACTAATAAGATCCAAAATGTACAATAGATATGGTAATAAAGAAAGGGAACGAAAGTGCTCAGAAGGAAAGAACAATTGGGATGGGGAAAGGAAAAAAGAAATAATGGAAATGATTGTATGTATGTAGGTAGGCTCGTATAACTATGTATGTGTGTTTGTGCAAGATCGATATCTGTACTAATAATCTCTGTTAGTTCTTTAAAAAGAACAGTTTGTGCTGTCATTGTATGACTGATCATTGTTTATGCCTAGATCTTGTAACTTGAACAACTACTTCTAAGGTAACAGTATACAATATATTAACTAGAATTGATTTTGTACTTTTTAAAAAATTCTGTATTATTCTTATCCCTTTTTTTACTTTTTAAAATAAAAAAGATAAAACATGACGTATGTATTCCTACAAACATGGCAACTGTGACATTTTAAAGTTTTCATTAATATATATAGATACATGTAATTGGTGAATATTGAGAAAAAATAAATTGATAATGGGTGTCAGTCTTCTGTTGTGGAATTTTTACACAAAGTAAAAATGACTAGTTTGGTAAAGCCAATGGGATGTGTTATTTTTATCAATAAGTATATAGAATTTGTTCTCAAAATAAGTGACTTTTGTTTGATTTGGAAAAAAATCTTGCTTGCTACTGGCCTTTATTTTGGAGTCTCACTTTCTTATGGCTAAACTGGCTGGAACCCCAAAACAAGCAAACCTGGATCCCCATGAAAGCGGGTGCTCTTGAGAACACGAAAGAGGCAGGTCTTTGGGGGAGGACTGGCCTGGATGATACTATGGGGAAGGGCACTTCTCTTTGGGAAATTTCAGTCTCCTCAAGGAAAATGACTTCTTAGAAGTGAAATCAAATAACAAAATGCCCTGAGCAGGAGGAGGACATGAAAGCACATACAGTCTAGTTGGTAAGCAAGAGAAAAAGAAACAGAAATACCAGGAAGACGAGAAACTTCGCCAGTGCTGAGGAGCCAGGAATGGACCATGAAGCTTCGGGCCCTTCCCTGCCGACTTCTTGCAGCTCAGAGCTACTTGCATGATGGAACTAAAACTAGATTAAGCAACAGAGACAGCAGGGGAAGGGCACATTCCAGGTGGGAACTCTCACAGGAAACTTGCATTGATAGAGATACGCATTCACTGGCAAATGCACAATCCATTGTTGGGCTCTTATGCTTAGGCTTAGCCTTGGTGTGACAATGGGGTATTGTTTGCAACACTAACCTTTCATAAAGTTATGGAGAGGGTAAAATTAAGAATTCTTTTTTAAAAAAATGCCTAGTATATCATGATAATCAGTAAAAGTTAGCTATTTTTTATAAACTAACATTTATATCTTTTATTACAGTGCTAGGAATCAGTTACTAGGATGCTACGCCATGGAGCATGTGCCCAATTTTACCTATTTTTAGACAGGCCTTCTCTAAGGTGCCCAGGCATTGAATGTGCAATCCTCCTCCCTCAGCCTCCTGGATAGCTGGGATTACAGGAGTACACCAGCAAACCCAGTTTATGTACATCTTTTGTTATACATCTTTCTTCATAATATATTTGTCCTGTGGTGTCATTATTTCTTCAGTTCAGATAAAGACAACGAAGATCATCACAAGGATGAACTCAAAGTCACGTGATTTCCAAGAAGAACTCAAATGAGGGTTTGACAGGTGAACTCAATGTCTGCCCTTGCCCAATTGCTACATTTTGATTATTTTCAGAATCAAGAGTCTGCACATAGCCGGGCGTGGTGGTGCACTCCTGTAATCCCAGCTCTTGGGAGGTTGAGGCTGGAGGATTGTTGTAAGTTCGAGACCAGCTTGGACTACGAAGTGAGGGCATGGCCAGCCTGAACTGCATAATGAAACCCTGTCTCAAACAAACAAACAAACAAACAAACAAACAAACGAGTCTGCACATCTAATGAGTAGGAGCAGGACCATAGTTGATAGTATTCTATTGCATGATGCTGAATGTTCTAAGGCATTAGA